GTGTCCAAACTCTAATTTTCCTTGTGCGTTTCTTGGCCAAATCATCAATACAATTTCTGATACACACTTAGAAGCCGTCCCAAATTCTGTTTTCAGACTGTAACACGATCTTCGTCATTCTCCATTTCAAAAATCAGAACTTTGCTTCTTGGCTGCTCCAGAATATTCCAGCCATTCATAGCTCAAGTTAAGGGTTGTTCTAGCTTCCTGAGAACTTGAGGAAGCTGACCAGAACGTCACAGAAATCTGAACTAGGCTCTAATTCACAGAACAATTTCCAACTACAAGGTAAGTTTCTTCTGACTTTTATCTCATTACTTAGGCATTGTTAGGCTTGCATTTTCAAATATACAATGTAGATATCATGACTCTGATTCTGTACATATTTATAGATTTCATGTATATGGCCTAAGTAGAGAGAATTTAAGATCAGAACTTCTTGAGGAAATTAGGGTTCAGAATTAGGATTAGCCAAATTCATGCTTGTTTCTGGTTTACAGTTTTGATGCTTTGTATTTCTGAAACCATGATGAAATTTGTCATAACTTCTATGTTGCATTTTCCATTTTTGTTGAGAAATAACTAAGTTGCAGATGCTCTGGTTGGCGTGAAGGAGCAGATGAAGTTCATCATCAGAACTTACTTGGTGATACATGTTTATGCCTTTGCTTCTAATACCGAATGTACAGCCACCCCAGTGGTAGATAGCGCGCGCGTATAAGGCATTAGTGTTAAGGGTCCTGAATTCTAGCCCCAGAAACACCTTTTTATGTTTATTTCTTGACATTTTTTTTACCCCATTATTTGTCAAACAATATTCCTGGATTAGAACTTCTAGGTTCCCAATTGCATCAGAACTTCTAGACTCTCTTAACAACCAGATCTTCTAACCTTCCAGTAACACTAGAACTTCTAGGTTTCCAGTTGCATCAGAACTTCTAGACTCTATCAGAAATCAGAACTTCTAGGCTTTCCTTTGTTCCCAACAACCTCAGAACGTTAGTGCGTCTGGGTCCAGAAGTTCTGACCTTCCCTTTTTTGCTAACATTTGCTTTCTGATTTGCAGCGCACCTGAGTCAGAACTTCAACTCTCTCCTCTTTCAGCAAACACGCTGATTCTAACTCTTATTCTCTTATTATTTTTATCATCACTTTATTTTCATTAATCAAAAACACCAAAAATACTTTATATTCATACACTTTGCTTTATTTCTTTTTAAAACAAAAAGACTAAAAAAACATTTCTTTAAGCAAATTTATTTCTTATCTTATCCAAAAAAAAAACAAGTCTATTTTTACATTTCTTATACATTATTTCAATATGGTTGTAATAGATAATTAGGACTTTAATTTCTTGCAATCCCCATTTGTAAATTTGTATACCCTATTTCCCAAATGATTGTAATAACGTAGAATCCCCATTTTTCTTTTAGCTCTTAAGCATTAGATTGAACACACCCTTTTAATTAGAACAACAAGAGTGGATCCCGTAGAGTACTACAGATATGAGGGGTTCTAATACCTTCCCCTCGCGTAATCGACTCCCGTACCCGACTTCTCGGTCGCAAGACCTTGATTTCTCCTTTCAGGTTTTTCTTTGATGATTTTCCTTTCCCTTTATGTGGGATAAATAAATACTTGGTGGCTACTTCATTGATTTTACCGCTACAATGAGCATTATGTTTCGGGCATATCTCTTTCTCGCTAAACTGGTGGAGCCTCCTCCAAAAAATCCCCCCCGATATAGTGTTGAGGGTATGTCGGGTTAGTCGTGCTTCTCGAACTTTTTTTTTTGCTTTTCCCTTCTTCTTTGAAGGGCTCACCGGGTCGCTTTCGCCTCTGGGGGGCTTCGCTTTCTGGATTGTTCAACATTTCCTTTCACATAGGACGATAACTTTCCCCTTTGAATGAGTATCTCGATTTCTCTCTTCAGCTATTGACAGTCGTCGGTGTGATGTCAGCGGATCCGATGATACGCGCACTAGGCGTCAGCGTCATCTCCGAGGATTGCGTTGACGCCCGGGGGATACCAAGGTCTGGGTAGTAGATTGAGGTGATTCACGTCCTTCTAGATATCTTCCCTTTTGGCATTCAGAGGGGTGAAAGTTTCATCTGGAACTAAGGGTTGTCGGGATGGCCAGTAAGGGAGCCTTTCCCGGGGTGACGGTCGGTCACGAGGCTGGTTATGCTCTTTCTTCTGCCTTGGAGTTTCGTCCCAGGGTCCTCCTAATTATTTAGCGTCTCTAGTTCTTTTTTCCATGTTACTTTCCTCTCCTTTTATGTAACATTCGACATGGGTGATGATCTCGTCCATGCTGGTGGCCAGCTTCTGGGCCATCAATTCTTTGAATTGACCGGCCTGGAAACCGTGTTGGAAAGCCGCTACAAAGATCTCTTGATTGGGGTGAGAAACCTTTATGGTTTCTTTGTTGAACCGTGTCATGTAATCCCTCAAGGGTTTCGATTGGAGTTGGCAGACATTGAATAGTGTCGTTGTGGACACCTTCATGTGTCGGCTTGCAGAAAACTGCTGGACCATCTTTTTGGTGAAATCTTGGTAACTGGTGATGGAGCATCTCGAAAGACCCATATACAGCCTTAAATACGGTTCCTTGAGAGTGTTGGCCATGAGCTTGCACTTAAGTGAATCATTAGCCCTGATGATTGCCATCATGTTGTTGACAATAATGATATGTTAATGGAGATCAGATTTCCCGTCGTATGACGAGCAAGTCAGGGGTTTGAAGTTCTCTGAAACATGATCGTCTCGGATAGCTTGGGATAATGGATGGGGTTCCAGAAGCTCCATTCCCTGGTTGCCATCTTCTTAGCTCTTTGTCTGTAGAATATGGATGTTGTCTTGGAGCCTGTCGTTTTATCGGCGAAGGTCGTTGATCATGGCCAGCAATAGAGCCATGTTTGGGGGTGGCTCTCCGTCAGAGGACATTGTTCGCGGAATGCTTGGATAGTGTGGCCCAGTAAAGTTTTACTGGGCCCCACGGTGGGCGCCTAATGTTCTGGATGAACACCAAAGACGACTTCCCTGTGAACCCGAGGGCTTTAAGCAAGGTCTTTAATGAATGGAACTGCTTTCTATATTATGTTAAGGGATTCAGAGGCTTACACAAGTGTGCGTGAGCATCAAGCGATGCCTCTTGCTTGCCCCTTAGTCGGGAGCCCTATTTATAGAGGTGCATTCTCACAATTCGATTTAGGCCTTGTGGTCTCAATCTGGGGAGGTAACTGACTGATTTCCTACATGTTTTCCTTGGCCTAGCAACCACGTCTTGCCTTTTATCTCATCTAGCCCAGACAATCAGATCTATGTATGAACAATATAAGCCTTATAGGACGACCTATATATGCATATACAGGCCAACCTATATATATATTAGAAAAATTCTAAATAGATCGGCCTGTATATGCATATATAGGTCGTCCTATAAGGCTTATTAAGTAATATGGACTTATTGAAAACCTTAATGAGAAACAGACTTTCAAATAGACTTTCAGGTCATGCCAGACTTTTAAAAAGGCCAGGCCAAAAAAATGAGCCTATAGTAGGCCATAGGCCATACTCAGACCTTGTAAGTTTGTCGTAGGCCAGACTCAGACCTTATGAAGCCTAGCCTAACCTAGTCTATTTCTACTCCTACTTGAGACAGTGGCTGAGGCTCTAGGAGCTCCACTTCCGGTTGTTCGTCTCCCAAGCTTTTAAGTTGCAAGTCAGCAACACTGTCTTGCAGAGTCTCATTCTGTTGTCTCAGAGCTTCCACCATGGCCAACAATTACGCCATGTCGGGGGGGTCTCCTTCAAATGACAATCTGGTGAATGAGTGTTGAGGTGTGACCTAGGATAATTTTACCAAGGCCCCACAATGGGCACTAATGTTCTTGCGTAGAATAAATATTCGGCCGACTTCCCTCCTGAAAGTAAGGAAACCCATGAAAGTAGGTTTAAAGAATGATTGGGGATTTGGGAGCTACGTCAATGGTGCGTATTGTTCCAAGAATAATGTCTTGCTTATCCCTTTTGCAGGAGCCCCTTATATAGTATTCCTTCTTGCGCCTTCAAGAGCTATAGTTAATGTGTGGCACTTGGATTTCATAACATCTGTTGTATCCATGAATAGAGGTGTTAAAAGTTGTATAACATTGGTTTAAATGCGTCGGCAGCGGTTACAATCATTAATGAGCCGAGTTGATGACCATCTGTGGGCATATGGGTCTCAACCACTAACCTCACCCAATTTTACGGCATACGTGGGTTGCTTCCCGAAGGCGTGATGGTCGTCTGGCATAATGAACCGAGATGCACCCCAGACACCTTTTACCATCGAGTCGACCACTAGCTTCACTTTCCCTTCAGCTAATTTCACTACCCGGTCGGGACTGATATTTCATCTTGATTGTTAGTAGGATTGCTAGAGTTATTGCTTTTGGATGCTTCCTCAACAAGTATTCTTCAATCTGTTTTCTCTGTATTCTTCTTGTTTCCAAAATTGTAATTATTCTCTTTTCTTGCTCTCATGTTTAAAATCATAAGATGCAATTGATATAAGCTTCACCAACTTTGTTAAAAAAAAATCAAAACTTATCTCAAAGATAGAAACAAATATATCGGAGTAGTTGTTGTAGTCTTGTGTCATCATCATGTATCAATTTGTACGATTCGTGTTGACATACATGTGCCTTTGAAACTACTAGTCTATGAGATAACACTTCTCAGCATTGTAGAAACAAAAATAATAAATCCTAAATAGCCTCCATAAATAATGAGGCATTTCAAGCAAGTGAACAAACTTATCAGATTCTAGATTCTGAAGTAGCATCTTGTGATTTTATTCTCTTATAAAGAAGGTATTGTTTATTGCAACTATGCAATAAACAATATAAAACATACATTGCCAACACAAGATTCATCCATGTAAAATAAATTCACATATAAACCATATATAAACCAGAAATGTTATTTAGCAGTGTATCCAAGGTTTTAAAAATCACTTAGCTATCCCAAATTCCTTATCAATTTCAATTTTAGCAGTCTCATGATCCTCATCAAAAAACATATCCCAATGACCATCCCATTTGATGAAAAACTCAGTATCCTCGTGATACTTCACTCTATGCACATCACCGGCAGGAGTAAACAAATAATCTCCAACCGTTAGATCATATCTCTCCTCCTTAGTCAAATTCCAAACACTCTTCTTCCCTTCCAGCACCACCAAATCATGCCCAAACGTGTGATGATGCGCCGGCTCCACACTCCCGGCTTTGAACCTCACGAACGCCGACGTCGGCGTCTCTCTAACAATCTTCATTGAACCTCCGGGAATCAAATCGATCGGGTTCAGCTCCCGGTTCTTCACCAAACAACAAACCGCACATGTATCAACCGGTTCGCGTTTTCCGATTTCCGGCATCTCGATCAGTGATTTGTCGAGGAAATTCTCGATCTCCTCTGGCCATGGTTTGTTATCATTTGCAGGACATGCAGCCTTGAAAGGTGTTTTCAGCCACGTGTTCACGATCTCAATTGCGGTTTCCGATGAAGTGTACTTACCGGAGAAGGCAATCACGTTTGAGTTGTTGATGGATCGGGCGTTGATAGCATCGGAGGGAGTGAGACAGGTGGTGGCAAAGACGCCGGGGAATTTGTTGGCGAAGATGGAGACGCCGGCACCGGTTCCGCAAACGACAATACCGCGGATTTCCGGGGAGGATGATGATGATTTGGATTGAGAGACGCGGCGGCCGACCTCGGCGCCGGCGGAATAGTAGGAAGAGGTTCCGAGGTCTTCGGTTTCAATGTTGAGGGAACGGAGGTGGGAGATCAGAGCGTCTTTGAGAGGAGTGCCGAAGTCATCGGCGCCGGCGATGATTTTGATAGGGTTGTTAGGTTTCGCCATGGACGACTGATCAGAATGTAGATTTGGATAGTGAAGAGTGAGAATGGTGAGTGACTGAGTGTGAAATGAAGGCGCAACTCAAGAAAGAAAGGTTAAGCAATTATTTGGGCCATTGGTCTCTTGGGACCGATTCAATGAATCTGGACATACACTAATTTGGATTTGTAATTTTGTTTTGTCTTTATGTTGATAAAGAAACAAGTTGATTTGATTTTTAAATACACTTATATTTAAAAGGTTTGGATACTCTAATTTTAACTTTTAATCTTCATATATTATAAAAAATTTAACATTCATGTATTTAAGGGTTTTTGGATTTTTTTTTGTAACAAAAATATTTTAAATTTAAAAGGGAAATTTTGATACAGCAGACTCAGATGTCTTATAAGGATGTCAAAGACATTTGATCTGACATAACACACATGCAAGATTAAATAGTATTGAAAAGATAAAGAACACACTAGAATTGTTTACCCAGTTCAGTGTACAACAATACCTACTCGGAGAGCTATCAAACTAGGAATGAAGTCCACTATTAGTAGTATCAATTTGCAGACCCTATAGCCAACACACCTATTGATGATCTACGCACTTAATCACTACTCAATGACCCTTCTACCTAGGTCCTCCCTAGATATGGGATATCTCCATCCCACTTCCAATCATCATAATGATGTCTAGCAGTCAACACCCCAGTCACTGCGTAGACGGTCCTTCACTAAGATTCTGACCACACAGATAAACAGTTTGGAAGACATACTTCCATGACAACCTAGCTAAGTCTCTAAGCCAAACTCCACTGTTTATTAGCTTTGCTCCTAACACATCCTGGAGTTGCTTCAAAGCTTCCTCCAAGAACAATGCATCTCTTACCTACAGGCTTCGAGATGAACATGGTAAACTTCCCACAACCCGGGAGGTTTACCTTGACAAAACCCTAGACTTCTACATCTTGAGTCGTGTCTTTTCTAGGTTACAAATCCTTCTATTTATAACTTGTTATCCAACTGGTTTTAGACCTTCAATCACAGCAAATCAGTTGTAACAAACTGCAGAAACTTCTGCCCCAAGAAAGGTCTTCAATCTTTACTTTTCTAAATAACCTCTTTATTTAGAAAGTCTTCATTCTCCTTGATTTCTGATTAAATTTTCTGGACCTTTAAATATGCGTCACATAGGATGTATAATATTCTCCTGAATATTCTGCCAATATTGAGAGCAAACTGAACCTCATTAATCCAGCTCAGCAGGCGCAATGTCAAGACATCTTCTTCGACATGTTGTTCAAGTTGTTGAAAAAGTTCAACACAACATGTTCTGACATTGTAATAGGACTTCTTGTTGTACCTGTTCTTCTTAACAAGTTTATACATCATATTCTACATTACATTATTGCTGCTATTATTTGTTTTACAAAAGTTATGTCAATCCTAAAACAAGAGAACTAATAATCTTCCCTTTTGGCAAATTTTGGCTAAAATAAATAATCTAAAAAACAATTTGCGACAATTTAGAAGTTGCTGCACACAATAATAGATCTTCAGTTTATAATGATGTCTCAACATATTGTTAGACATCTTCTTTGCAGCACTCTGAAGAACTCAATTGCATCAGCACTAACGAACATCAGTTTCAGGATAAAAAGAAGGAAAATCCTGAAGTTTGGTTGATGCACGCGAGGAAGAAGATAGCAGAAGAAAACTTGTACTCCCCCTCAATGCAGGAACATCTTCTAAACATAGAAGACCAATGGTGAAATAAGAGAACTCTCAATAACTCCTTAAGAACAAATCAGCCACCGCCCCTGATAACTCAGAACACAGGTCACAATTGTGTTCATAACTCAGATCACAGATCACAAAAATATATGTCACAAATAATAACCTACTTGACATCTGTGAACATTAATAATAACCACTTGTGAAATCAGCAACATCTGGGCTAATTCACCTTTCATCTCCCTTTTTTAAACCAAAACTTGGCAAAAGAGACCTTCACAATACCAGACTCAAGCACAGCTTACCCAAACCCGAATAAAAGCCATAAGAATTATGGACTCAATGAGCTCACGGGGTTACAGAGATACGGAAAACTCTCTATAAATAACTAGGATTTTCACTTGGAAAGTAACGATCCTAGGTTGTAGCATCAATCTTGGTCAAAAGAAATGATATTTGTGGAGAAAACTTTAAGCATCAATGTGCACCGTCTATAATGGCTTTGAATGCTATAACTACTTCCTGTATATACACTTGCATAGTCACACAACTTTTTCTCCCCCTGTTTACAGCCACGTGTTTGAACACATAGGCCACTCCACCCTATCTTGACCATGCAGGAACCATGTCCTGTATAATACCCTGACACTTAGTCAGACATTGTCTTCATATTTCAGTGATCAATATATCTTCTCCCACCAATTAGGGATGCTTCACCAAATTATCTACCTGTTCATATTGGATTCTAAGTGTTCTTCTTTCACTTAGACTTAGTGACATATACTAAGGTATCAAAATATCACATTTGTGACACCTCTTCATAATATAGACCCTCAAGGAGTCTTTTTGAAATCTATAGAGAAAAATAAATTCTCCCAGACTTCCCATTAAATTTCTAAGAGATATGTGAACTTCTGATCTTCACCAAGCTTCTCATAGTTAGAAACAACCATGTCTTGTTAAGTTTATCCATAACTTCATAATGTCACAACATGTTGTTTCGACATCATTTCCTCATAGAACCTTTACAAAAGTGAATAGTATTCTGGCTTGATAATATTTGTATCATTGTAGCAACAATTTACAGATATCCACATGACTCCCTTTGTCATGAGTAACTAATGCTCTAGCTGGAGATGAAGACTAGATGAGAAACTTCAGCACTTTCTGCATATGCTGAATCTTGACTCCCTCAGTAGAGTCAAACCAGAGTCAGATATTCTCACTCCTTGAGAATACTTCCAGGAACCCTGACTTCTTCACAACACAAGGATAAATTTGATCATTGTCTTATCAAAACCACACTCTGTATCATGACCTTTTGAATAGACAATATGTCATGGATACTAGGTGTGAAGTCACTTACAAACTCCAAAAACTCTTAGTTTCTCCAGATCACGAAACCTTTTATGGAGTGACTTGCAACAAAAAAAAAACACCCCTTAAGTATCTGTTAGCAGCCTTATGCCTTTATATCCACTAGTAGTTGCTGATACTAGTGGAGTCTTCAATAAAATAGTCATGCATTCATCAAGCATGCTACTGTAGACAAGATTAGACTCTCCATATTCTAATCCACATAGTTAGAAATGCCACTTCTCACAATAATGCTTAAGTATCCAACTTCACATGAATAATCCCAAGCATTAAACAAAACAACCATCAACAATCATGATGTTAAGACATCATGTGGTACAAGCAAGGTCCTGCAAGGCTCGGAAGCAAGATATCAACAAATTGAAAAAGTAGCTTTGTCCCTCGTTAACTCAGTGGGGAGACTAAGACACTACTTTCCGGGCCACACCATAGTGGTCTGGACGGATCAACCAATAAAAAAGCTGCTCGAAAGACCAGACATGTCCGGTAGAATGTTGAAATGGTCCCTGAAACTCTCTGAATTCGATATCCAATATGAGAGCAGGAAAGCCCTTAAGGATCAGGCCTTGTCCGACTTTGTGGCAGAAATGACCTCGCCCACGAGCCCCAACGGATCGCGTTGTTGGACGATCTTCGTCGATGGCACCTCCAGTCCGACCGGAAGCAGTGCCGACATCATACTAGAAAATGAGGAAGGGACCCTAGTCGAAGTCTCCCTCGCCCTATCTTTTCCAACCTCCAACAATCAGGCCTAATACGAGGCATTTCTCGCAGGCTTACGACTGGCCGGAGATCTGGGAGTCGAGGAAGTAAAAATCTTCACCGACTCTCAGTTGGTTGCCTCTCAAGTCCGAGGTGAATATTAGGTCAAAAATGACCAACTCGTCGAATATTGGTCCCTGGTCCAGGAAGCAAAGAGGAAGTTCAAATTTGTGGGCGTACAATATGTTCCCCGTGATCACAATGCTCGCGCAGACGTCTTATCTAAATTGGTGAGCACAAAGAGAAAGGGAGGAAATAAATATGTGATACAGGAAATACTCCCTCGACCAAGCATCCAGAAGCCATCTTCCACCCTAGAAGTATTCGCCATCGGGGACATCGATTGCTGGATGACCCTCGTACACGACTACCTCACTAAGGGCAAACTCCCCGACGACCCAAAAGAAGCGACCATTGTCAAGCGGAGGGCTTGCTTGTACTTCTTGGTCGAAGGCAAACTTTATAGAAGAGGATTTTCCATTCCACTTCTCAAGTGTGTCGACCGAAGCGGAGTGGAGCATGTATTATTCGAAATCCACAAAGGCATCAGCGTCCAGCATCTGGGCGGGAGATCCCTCGTGAGGAAAGCCTTGCGGGCGAGATACTATTGGCCCACCATGCAGCATGATGCAAAGGAGCACGTAAAGAGATGTGATAAATGCCAACGACATAGAGACATGCATTTAGCTCCTCCTAAAGAGCTTAAATCCCTCTCTTCTCCCCGGCCCTTCGCCTGGTGGGGACTAGACCTCCTTGGCACGTTCGTGGTGGGAACTAATCAGTACAAATACCTAATTGTAGCGGTCGACTACTTCACCAAGTGGATAAAATCCGAAGCTTTGGCCAAGATCACTGCCCAAAACGTCCTTCGCTTCTACAAATGAAATATCCTCGCTCATTTTGGCATCCCACAAGCGATAGTCACCGACAACGGGACCCAGTTCACGGGTTGCACCTTTTAAGAATTCATTTCCAAACTTGGCACAACCCAACATTTCGCCTTTGTCGAGCACCCCCAAACAAACGTCCAAGGCAAATCTGCAAACAGAGTAATACTCAGAGGCCTCAAGCGAAGGTTGGATGAAACCAAGAAACGATGGGTCAAGGACTTGCACAGTGTGCTCTGGGCATACTGAACGATCG